AATATAGATACGTGAGATCCAATATTACTAATAATAGTAATTTTTCTTAATAGCATCATTCACTCGGTTACTATAGGAATAACAATCATAATAGCATAATTTTTATATTTTATGAGATGGTTATTTTCAACTTTAAAGTTAAGGAGTGATTTTTTATAAAACTAAGTGTATGAGTGTAACGTTTGTGATCGTAAATTGAATGATAAAAAATAATATGACTAAATTAAATAAAACCATGATACATCCTTTTGTGAAAAAACAGTTATAATTATTTTATTTATTTAATATAATAAAAGGTATCGTTATCAATCAAATCACATATTTTTTTATGTAAATAAATATTAACATTTTAAAATATAAAAGAATTCTAATAAATTCATAAAATATAGAAATAAATGATAATAATAGCTTGTTGAAGTTCCTTGAATTCATCTTAAACCTTAAGATACGGTGTTCTCTTGCGTCAACATTCAACTCAAGGACCAAAAGCAACATTTTCATGGCTGCTTCGCAGAATTTAGCATGAAATGTGTTGCATGTTTTCTGGTATGAAATGTGTTATATTATAGATATGATAAAATGAATCTACACGCAAGTATTAGTGAATAAAAAGTGGTTTCTTAGATGCAAAGAAATGAGTTACATCCACATTTTGACCACTTTCCAAATTATATGCACTTTATTGGTCCCAACACAGGAAAGAACATTGCAAATTTCTTATTTCAGTGGCTTTGGTACAGTTAATTAAATTTTTAATGAATTAATCTTTCATTTTATCTTTTTTTTTTTATTTTTATTTATTATCGTTCTTTGTTTTCTTTTCTCTTCATTTCTCTCTTTGCCTATTTTTATTGTAAAAAAAAATATAATTTAATAAATATATAGAAAATTATAAATATGCAGTTAATTAATTAAAGGAACAACATTAAAATGGACAAGTTTTTTAGACTACATATTTTATGTATAACTATATATTTATATATAAAAAATTAATCTCATAGCATAATTTATCATTTTTTTTGTGATTTTATTTTATTGTACGAAGAAAATGTAATTCTGCGAGGGAGTAATGAACTCTTTGGATGATTGATTATTTTTGTTTAACGTTAGAAAGAAAAGGGTAAATGGTGGATGTGATGTAGTCTTAATCACTTTGTTTTCCCTTTCAGTTTGAACCAAAGTTGTTGAATAAAAGGTATAAAGCGGGTCAATGACAGCTACAAATCTCATATTCTCATCACCATAAATTTATTCTGCACAATTCATTTATTGCCCAAACAAAAATGGTACTTCTGGTTGGGTATAACCTAGAAGATATTTGGAAAATTAGGGAAATTTTTTAATTTTTTTTATTTGATTAAAAAAAGTTTAGAAAAAAAATGTTTGGAGACGCAATTTTATTTACTTTTCTTTTCTTCTGTTCAATTTTTTTTTCTTTGAGATCCATCTAATCAAATAGAATAGCCCTTATGATCAACATAGACGATAACAAAGTAGACAGTAAAGGTATTCAATTGCAGAGAATATATTAATATAAAACTGTCCATACGCATTCTAATTGAGGCAATATATGCTTTCAAAACATTTAAAAATATAATTTATTTCATCTTTTATTGATTTTTAGTTTTCATCAAATTTAATACAATTAGAATAATATGTTATTATGATTAAGATATATTTTTTTATAAAGCAATTAACAGTATATTAATTGGTGGATGTTTAGTGTTGAGAAATATGATTACTTACTTATTTTATTCCTTTCTTTCACAAAGACTAGATTGTGAAACACGTGGTTTTTAAAAGAAAATGACGTACTTAGAAATTAAGCAATGGAGGAAGTTAAAAGTCTACCGTGGGCCATCCAATCCGATCCTACTTTTACATAAAGAATTGGATTGTGAAAATGAAGATTGAAAAAAAATAATGCTTAGGTCCCAATATTTCCCTAGGCATTACAATTCCACGGGAGCGGGTTTTGTCACGTACAGTTTTTTTAATAATCTGATTTCATTTAGATGAGATATTAAGTGCTTTTTTTTTTTTTATTTTATTTCGAGTTCTTCGTTTCTGTCATATTCTTAATCTATATTATTTTTAGAAAGATAATTACATTTATAATAAATTAATTTTATTATCTATTTTGTATATGTAAATAAATATTTATAACTTTATAATTTATAATTATTAATTAAATATATATTTTAATTTATTATATTTATATTAAAATATATATGTAAAAGAAATATTTAATCATTTTTTATTTATAATATTATTATTATTATAATACTATATTCAAATATTTGAATATTTATAACATTATTATTATTATAATATTGTATTTATACATTTGATTATATATATATATATATATATATATATATATATAAAAAAAGTTAATTCATTTTTAAGTTGTCATTTAAAAATATGAAATATATAGTTTATAAAGAAATATTTAATAAGTTAATTCTTATTCAATTAGTTCAAAGTAATAAAAGTTTAAATTATCAATTCCTTTAAATTTTTAAAATATAATTATTTTATCAAGATAAAATTTGATATATGATAAATAAAAATAATAAGATAAAAAAATATGACACAATAAAATCTAATAAATATAAATTATAAATAAAATAATATTAGTTACTACTAAAATTCATGAAATTGGTTGAAAAGATTGAAAAAAAAAACAAATTAATAAGAGAGATTAAGGAAATGTGAAAAACTGATATGTCGGATAAAGAATAATGCAATAAATTAATTGATATAAAAGATTAAAAAAGATTAAAAAATTAAAAGGTGGGTAGAAGAAGAAAATTGTGGTGAAATATAAAAAAATGACCTTATATGTAATAGAAAAAGAAAAGGAAATATTTTTAAAATATTAATATTTTAAAATTTAAATTTAAATATAAAGTCGGAACGAGGTCAAGATAGGGTCGAGGTGGGGATTGCATTACACATCCCCATCCCCGTCCATACCCCCAGCATTTTAAAGTGAAAAAAACCTAAACTCACTCCGGTCCCTTATCATTTAGATTTTCCCTGTCAAACCCAAAACAAAAACGAATCGATCCCCACAAAATAAAGTTTAATTGTAATCCCGATATTTCCCGGCACAATCCTACTTGTGACACTGTAAATTTGCTTCACCTGAGGGTTTTTTCATTCACTGAAACGGATACAAATCGTAAAATCTCATGCCCACATCTTACTTTAATTCAAAATCACCTCAGAAAGACGTGGCATTCATTATTTAATTTTAAATATATAAAAATATAAAACTGATTATATTTTTACTTCCTTTAAAATAAACTCAATTAAAAAACTATTTTAATTCCATGTCAGATCTCTCTGCGGTGCTGACGTATGTAATAAAAGGAAAGGTAAAACTTCTATAGTTTTATTTGCAAGAGTACGGTAAGGTTTAAAACTTTTCTCTAAAACTTATTTTTGATAAATGAAAATATTTTTACAATATTTCAATTACTTGAGTATTTTTTTTGTTTTTTCATTTTTAAAACAAATGGTTTATATTTTTATAATTGAAATAATTAGTGAAATGCATCTTAAATGCCAGGTAGATACATTCCTTACAAAGTTACATGTCTAAGGTTTTTATCCCAAAGCAAAATTGTATACATTGGATGTGGCACGCAAAGTTAAGAGAATAATTTACCTTCGTTGATCATGCTGGCCGAAAGTAGCTTCAAAAAAAAAAATTAAGTCTCAAGGTTGATGATTATTGCCGGGCAAACGAGTTTTGTTGGAGGTCTGGTTTGAAAAGAATGTGTCACAGGTGCAATTCCTCCCCCCTATATATTGAAATTATGGAAAATTCATATCATCAAAATTTGTAAAATATTCCTATGCTCTCTTAATATAAAAAATAATGTTACTGAGTCAAATAGATAACAAATGGTTTGAACAAATGTATATTAGAACAAATAAATATATCCAATAAAATAAAAAGAAACCCTCCTAATATTTTTTTTCTGTCGCTTATGCAAATCGAGAAATCAAATATAGTTAACCACGTCATACATAAAATTAAGAGGTTATATTATATGTTAATTTTATTTCCTTATTATTTTTATATCAATTTAATCCTAATTCTTTCAAACTGAATAATATCATTAAAATGTTTATATAAAAAAAAACAAATTATTCACATGATCACACAATTGATCTCATATGTCACATTTATAACATCATAACATATTATTAATTGTGATATATTAACATTAATATAAATGAGACACATTATAATGATGTGAACCAGTATAATAATAATAATAATATTAATATTACATTATATATTTTCATTAAATAACTTAAAGGTATTAATGAAAAAATATATTTTTTTAATTAAGACCAATTAAGACTAAAAAATAATAATAAAACCAAATAAATAAAAATTTAAAATAATAAGACTAAATAAATTGTATTATATATATATATATATATATATATATATATATATATTATGTAAAACAATTTTATTCTATTTTTTATGTAAAACTAATTATATAAAATAAACTAATTGATTTACTAGATAATCTCTAAAAGAATTAATTAATAAAAGTATTATTTTAGTATCAGTTCCATCTACAAAATTATTTAAAATTAAAAAAAAGTCTTATATAAGTAACATTTTCTAATTTTAAATAACTTTAATTGAAATCAAAATTAAAATAATATTTATTATTCACATTATTAGAAGAATTTCCTTTTTTAAGGTGCCCTTACGTACTTATCTTAATTTACATGATAGTCTAAATTCTTGTATCCTATCAAAGTATATAGGGGTGCAGAAAGACAAGTATTGAGAGAAATACCCGGAGGAAAGAATATATATACCAAAATTTTGGCCACCTGAATGCCAGACCACTTGGGAATATTTAATGCAAGTGAAACAAATACGCGCCCCAATCTAACTTAATTTCAAATCGACCAAAACAGGGCATGGGAAAGTGACGGATGGAAATTCTATATTTTCTAATCTAAACTGCATTCGTTAGAAGCTCAGTTCTCGTACTATCGGTTCTAGAATCGACGTTGTTAGCTCTACCATCGGATTTGGATGCTATAGCACCTGCACTAATCAATGGAATATTACTCAAAGATATTAATTTATCCATTTTTTCCCTACTAGAAGATGATTCGGTGCCCGGCAGAATTTGTCTCAATTGTGACTGCTGGCAAACAATGCGACCTTTGTTCCACCCCGGGAAAATAAAGGATGACGGGACAGTATCCTGCAAGAATGAAATGACAGCTTTCGCAATAGGAAAATCCTGGGCATCTGTGGTTTTCTCTATCTCACCACGGCTGGTTAAATGGGAAAAACAAAACATATGAACGTTAGAGAAGAAACTAACCGGAGATCTAAATTAAAGGTACCGCATATAGCACCCTTTTTTGATAAAAAAAAAAATTATGCTCAAACGGTTTAACTCGTGTGCTGGTGCAGAAAATAAGTTGTTAGAGACAAGCAACTTACACCACAACAACTGTTGCAAGCATAGGAAGATCCTCGCCAATCATGAACATTTCCTGCATATTGTTCAGCCAAATTGATAGCGCTGTCAATGCAGCACCTTCTGACATCCTGCAAGAAAATAAAGTCTTAGATTATATACCATTGAACATAAAAATGAATATAAAGCCTCAATTTCAAAGGGTAAGAAAAATAGAGTTCTCAACTTTCAATTTCGATTACTCTGTTCGTAGAAAATTGAGAAAGGCTTCAATAATGGTCACATTAACCCATCCTATTAGCGTTTCAACTCATTATCATTCTCACGCTTAATTTTCATAAACTACCAATATGTCCTTTGGTACTTTAGACAAAATCATAATTAAGTACTGAAATCTCCAAAAGTTAACCATTCTAGATATGCATAAATTAGCTATGGAGACCTCAGAAACTAAAGAGGCTAATTGCAGAATCGCCTCATTTGAAAGCTGAGGGTTCTACCCATATGCATCAACACGGGGATTTCGTATGTTTTCCTTTATTAAATAATATTAATAAATGTTTAACAAGAATTTTTTGCCACTATACCTGTGCACATCCACAGACCATACAAGTTTACTTCTACGAAAAAGTTCAGGGAACAGCCCCCTCTTTGATGCTTCATTGAGCACTCTAGCAGCCCTTTCTCTCTGGAACATCCACCAAAGAGCTTCTAACAGGGCATTGTAGAACCTCAGTCCCATCCCACACCCTTCGGAACTGAGCTTGTCAAAAACGTACTCCACAATCTGCCAATTAGACTCATCATCAAAATCTCCCTTGATCATCTGTCCAATTACTTGATGAATATCTGACACCCTCGTTGTGATCATCTCATCAATTAAATTATAGGCATCATTTGATCTAAACCAACAAATTAAGGTAAGCAAAAATATAAAACACAAATAAAGCATTAGAAGTAAAATGCAAATAATAGGTGATCAAAGTCAAATTAAAGCTTCAGAGTTTGGTCTTGACTTGATACAAGAATGAAACAGAAAATTGCAAAAACAAATAAATAAAAATGAATTTGTCCCATTTAACATAGAGTGAGAGAGAGTCTACCTAATCAACACACAAATGTCCTGCAAGTTGTTGAAAATTCCATCACATATAATTTATGGTTTAGTCGGACTTTGAAATATGATTGACATCCACATTTAATCTTGTTTACTTATTGGTTGCTTTGGTTACTAGGGTATCTATGACCCAGTATGGAGACAGAGATTACATGCTAATGTGAAGGTAAAATGGCTTGACTAGAATTCATCGCATTTTTATTTTATATTGTCATATATATATATATATATATATATATATATATATATATATATATATATATATATATATTCTCGCGCACTCACTCACATTACTCACAAGGTCATGCTTAAAAGTATACCAAACTTCGAGCTTATCTTACACATAATCACTTTTTGGGTTTCCGGTTAAAAGCTCATGAGAATTACTTAAAACATTCCTATCAGCCTTTTTAGCTCATTTCAATAAGCTTTACCCTGAAGGTGTGAATACTAGTAAATAAGTGCTTAATTGAGTTTTTTACCAAACGTGCCCTAACATGAGTTCAGTGATGCAAGCACACTAGAAAGTGATATCATAACATGTATCAATTGAAGGCTTGAAGGCAAAACCATATTTTTCCATGAAGGATAAAATTAGCACCACTAATAGGACAACTTGAAAACTCCCTACCAAAAAGGGCAGAAAATATAAAGATGTCAAATAATATATTTTATTGATTTATAACTATCTGGTACTGATAGTTATAATTCTGACAATAACAGTTATAACTGTCTAACAGTGACAGTTCTAACCTTGACTGAAAAGTACGAGTGTACACCTAAGAAATCAGTAAATACAGAAGTCATTTACTCACATGAAGTAGGAAGAAGTTACTTCGATGATAGGCAGCTCCCATAGTAGAAAAATTAGTTAGTCGGCTGGACAATGAGAGAAATGTGGCCTATAAAAAAGAACAAGGGTTGAGAGGGAGATTTCATCTTGTGATTTGAGAAGAAATTCATTAAGTTGTGGGAGAGTCCAAGCCTCTTGAAAATCGTGGGAATCATTTGTGCTCTTTTCTATTAATAGAAACTTTTCTTTCTATGATTCTGATCCAGTTTATATCAATTGGTTATCTTGATCCAGAGGAAGCAGCAGTGTATGGTCAATAATGGAAGTAAGAATGGAGATCTCTCTTTTCTCCGGTGAGAATCCCTATGGGTGGGCCACCAGAACGTATAGATATTTTCAGATTGAAGGAGTAAACCAAGAAGAAAGTGTGCAACAGGTGGAAGAAGCTACAGATGGGTACCCTTCGAATTGGTTTTAATAGTCAAGATCCTAAACCTGCAAGTCCACATGGGCAGCATTCAAGATTGTTTAAATTAGGAGGTTTCAACAACCATGATCATGAACCCTGACGAAATCTTGTTAGATTTGAAGCAAGAAGGCTCCAAACAAGAATACAAGGACAATTCAAGATATGTTTGACCAAGAAACAGGTGAGGACAAGGCTGAAGCTGCCTTGTAATGGGTAATCAGCAGTGATGGACTTAGTGCAACTCATAGAATAAGGTATTTTGGTGCAAGAAGCCAAAAGGGAAGGAGGAGGGGCCAAACTAGAGAAACAAATGGGGAGTGGCCAATGGGGCAATCAGTGGAGAATGGAAGGAAAAACAGTTCAAGTGGGTGGCTGCATAAACAAGCAGGGGTGGGGTGGGAAGAACAAGTGACAGCAGTGGAGGTTAGGGTTTTAACGATCAATCCACCATGACTGATAGAATAGCCACATCATTGGGTTCTGCCTGGACAGAGATAGATCATCAACAGTGGCTAAATTCTAGAACGTAATTGTTATGCTTTCCCCACCAGAACCACCATACCTTGGTGCTCAGATGGTGGCTAATGTTATGTTGGAGTTACAGGCAAGAATGTAAATCCGTATCATTCCTCAATTCAAGAACTGCAACAACCATAGGGAAAATCACAATGTTGAGATGAGGTGGTGGAACTACTGGACCCAATACAAAGGTAGATCAGTATTTTGGGACTACAATAATTGCACATACGTATTTGTGTAAGATCCAGACAGAATTAAAGCTATTTTGGGGCTACAACTACACCGGTGGGATTGACTAGGTCGTCATGCTTCCAACGGCTGGAGCCCAACACAAGTGTTTTCAGCTGCCAAATTCTGTTTCACGTTCAGTACAAGGGGAAACTTTGGGGGGAGTATTCATAAGTAATCCCCATAGTTACTGAGTAGAATAATTGGTTTGTTCGTTGGGAACCAGGATAATTAGAGAAATAAGGAATGTTGTCTACAAATAAGTAAAGGTGTTGAGAGGGAGATTTTATCATGTGAATTGAGAGAGAAAACTGATTTTACTGTGGAGGGCCCACGCCTCTAGAAAGTCATGGAATCATCTGTAATCTTTTCTGTTAATGGACACTTTTCTTCCTATAATGCTGATCAAGTTTGGAAGTTTCTATCAGAAGAGATGCAAATTGTAGATCAATAAAAATCTATAAAGATTGTAGGAAAAATAAATGAACCATATAAGAAATAGTATGGAGTAGAACTTCAAGACTGAAATTCATAATTTAGCAAAGCTTAATGCTATCCAATTGTGTGATTTCGTGTTAGTTGCATCTGGTAATGGTCTCATGGGCTTATTTAATCTTCCTATATTCAAACAAAAAGAGAAAAGGAGTCATGCTGCAATGCTCTGATAATGCGCCAAAAATTCCATGCACTGTAAGTTGTTTGATTTTAGTACAATCTCACAAACAAATAACATAATGTACAGGAATTGGTGTCATCATTACTCAACTATTATTTTATTCAATATTGATTTCAATTGTTTTCACAATCCTATCAGTATAATATGCTTAAGATCATGGATTGGTATTTGTAACCACCTAATTGTTATAACTTCAAACTTAGATCGGAAAGTAGCACGGCTTAAATTTTAAAATAATAAAAAAACCACTGCAATAAAATACAAAAATGCTGACCTGTCATTCTTTGCATAAAGAGCTAGCATCATGCAGTAGCTCATGACACTGGGCAGTATTCCTGAAGCTTTAATTTCTTGGAACTGCTCCTCACTCTCGTCAACAAGCCCTGCAGAGCAGTATACACTTAACACTGCTTCAAGTGTCAGCTCATTAGATTCACAATTTGCTTTTTCCATTTCAACATGAGCTTTTACAGCCTCTTCATACTGACCAGCTTGCCTAAAAGCTTCAATCAAACCGTTAAATGAATACACATCCCGTTTTAAACCAGACTCATTCATCCTGGATAAAATTGCTTCCGCTTCTTTGTACAAACCCCCCCTTGCATATGCGTGAACAAACGAATTGTAGGTCTCAAGGGTTGGGTTGCTTCCAACTTCTTTCATGGTGTTAAATGCGACAAGAGCCTCTTCATACAGTGCAGCGTGCCCAAACGCTTCAATCACCCCAGTATAAACCTTGGAAGTTGGTACTATTCCTTTCTCATTCATATGCAGTAAAATTTTCTTGGCATCTTCATAAAGCCCTCCCTTCCCACAAGCAAATATCAAGCCCTCGTAAGTCTCTATGTTTGGCTCAATATTTTCCTCCACCATGTCATGAAACAAAGTCACCACCTCCTTGAAGTACCCTCCCTCCCCAAAGACCTGTATGAGAATGTTATAAGTACACGCATCAGGGTCCGTGTTACTAACTTTCATCTCAAGAAAAAGTTCTCGAACATCATCGTACCTCCCATGCTTCCCATACAAATGCAACAAAATACTATACGTGGCTGCATTCGGTACACAACCTGCAGCCTGCATCTGCCTAAACACGCCCATCGCCTCTTTGATGGACCCTAATTCTGCATAAGCATCTAATAACACATTATAAGAAGTAATATCTGGCAAATTACCCCCAGACTCCATCTCCCTAAGAAGTTCTGAAACCTTCTCTAACCTTTTCAACTTCCCAAACGTCTGAACAAGATAACTATAAGTATTGATATCGGGAACTATCCCACTTTCATTCATGGTCCTAAACACCATTTCAGCCTCATCACCTAACCCCCTTTGAGCACAAGCACAAAGCAAAGTATTATGAGTAATAACATCAGGCTGAATCCCTTCATGTCTCATTTCAGCAAACAACCCTAACAACCCCTCCCAATCCAACCCACCCCTAGCACAAGCATTAATCACAGTGTTGTAAGTCAAAATACTCGGCGAAACCCTCTCCTGCTTCATTCTATCGAGGAGTTCAAGCGAGGTGTGGAACTGGCCGTTACGGCCATATGCGTTGATGATGGCGGTGTAGGCGTAAACGGTGCGCGGGACACCGTTGCTAGGCATTTCGTCGAACACCTCGCGACACTTGTCGAGCAAGCGCTCGCGGCCCAAGAGCGTGATCATGATGGTGTATATGTGCTCGTTGGGCTTGCACCACAGCTGCCGCTGCATGTACTTGAAGAGACGCAGCGAGCGCTGCCAATCGCCGCGCTGCGCGAACTCCTTGAACACGAGGGCGAAGTCGTTGAGGGAGAGCTTGTTCTTAAAGGGGTCGAGGCACCGCGCGATGCTTCCACGTGGCGGAAGCGCGGTGAGGCGGTTGATTAGGGATTCCACATCGTAGCTGTACTTTCCCTTCTCCACCGTCACGGAGGGGTTTATGGGGATAATCTCCTTGGACTTGGTGGCGCGTGATTGGAACTGGAAAGCGCGTTTGGGGTAGGGTGCACAGAAGAGTTGGCGGAGGGTGGTGGTTGGGTTGAGGAGCGTGGGGGAGAAGGGTGACGGGTTGGGTACATAGAGAGAGGGTGAAAGGGAAAGGGTCATTTTCTGCAACGCGGTCATTTTGCGAAGTTAGTTGGGAAAACGGTTATGTAGTGACATGTTCATGATGATAAGCGCGGTGGTAGAGTGAATGGAAAATGGAGGTGGAAGTGGTGGAAGTGGTGGAAGAAGATGGAATGAGAGTGAGGTTGGTGATGGTAACAGAATTGAGGAAAGGCCACGTGGTGTTCTTTTTGGATAACGGTCAGAGGAGGGCAAAAATTTGGAAGTAATCAGGTTATTTGACCCGATAAGCCTAGTCGTATTTGGAGGTGGAGCCCCGGTAAGCACGGGTTACGCGTGTGGCTCATTTTGAACCGGGTCTGTTTTCCGGAGCAATTGGCGGTAACGGATTTTCAAACGATCTTTCAAGCGGGAGAAATATACTCAAGCTGTCTGCGTTTATCATACGCTATGCTTCTTTTAAGTGATTTCCAGCTTTCTAATTTAAATTGCGAAAATGTATATGGAACACTGACTCATTCGATCATCACTATATGGCACACTTCTGTTTTTATTATATCTACTTTTACAATGTATTTCTAATTAGGCATAACAACTAAGCGAAGGGAACAGACAGAATTTTGGCTCATCATTCTGGTATGACTTTTTTAATTATTTTCGTTCCCATTTTTTATTTTTATTGAAATTAAAAATGAAGTCCGTTTTCATTAAATTTTAATTTTTTTCCTTTATTTATGTTATTTTTTAAAAAATTATTATATTTATAATAAATTTATATTATCTTTTAAAAAAAATTATATTTATAATAAATTAAATTTACTATTTTTATATATAAATAAATATTTATAATTTATAACTATTATTAATTAAATATATTTTTTAATTTATTATATTTATATTAAAATATGTATATAAAATAAATATTTAATTATTATTTTTTATATAGATATACAATATTTATAACATTATTATTATTATTATTATTATATTATATTCAAATATTTAATTATATATAAGTTATTTTTTTAAGTTATTATTTAAAAATATGAAATATATAATTTATAAGAAAATATTTAATAAGTTAGTTCTTATTTAATTAATTAAACGTAATAAAAATTTTAATTATGTTAATTTCTTAAAATATAATTATTTTATTAAGATAAATTTTGATATATGACAAATAAGAATAATAAAAATTAAAAAATATAGCATAATAAAATTTAATAAAAATAAATTATAAATAAAATAATATTAGTTACTATTAATATTTATGTAAAATATGTAGAAAAAAATAATTTTGTCTTCATCAAATCGGTTGAAAAGGTTGAAAAAATAAATTAATTTGAGATATTAAGACAATGTAAAAAGGTGAAAGGTGGGAAGAAGAATAATGTAATGAATTAATTGATATAAAAGATAAAAGAATAAAAAAGTGGATAAAAGAAAAATAATAATGGTAAAATATAAAAAAAATTACATTATATATAATGAAAAAAAGAAAAAAATATTTTTAAAATATTAATATTTTAAAATTTTAAATTTAAATATAAAGTGTGACGCGGAGGACGAGATGAGATAGGAATTGCATTACTCATCTCAGTATCTGCTCTAACTTTTTAAAAGCAGAAAAAATCCAAACTCAACCTCATCCATACCCCAGTTAACTTCACTTTTTTTTTTTCATCAAATTCAGGACGAAATCATATTTCTATCTAAGTATTTACCATTCACATTGAAAAAAATGCATGATAACCTTGTGTTCGAATTAATTGTATGAAAAAAGTGATTTGTATGAAAATTTACTCAGTACAGTGTTAAAATCTATTTTATTTTTTCTTTATTAATTGTATACATCAAATTTTGTTGATCATAACTCACCAAAATGATGTATTTTTTACTCATTTCATTCAGTTATATTTTGTTATTATTTTTTGTTTACTCGTTTACAAGACAAATATGTGATTATATTTTGTGTTAGAAAAAATTACTTATTTATCATCCTATGACACTTATTTTGCATTGTTAAACTCGTGAGTAGAAAGTTACACAAATTTTAAAATAGTTTAAAACAAAGTGTTTTAAGTTTGTACACGATAAATTTGTAGAAAATTATCTTCTAATTTTTTATTTTTTTTACTTGGATTGATAAGGAGATATTAGAGTAATTTTTTATTTTTTTTACTTGGATTGATAAGGAGATATTAGAGTGACAAGTAACTCTTTTATGTTCCTTTAATTCTCTGTGAAACATCATGTAAAGATGTAGAGAAAAGATTATCAACACTCAAAAAGGAAGTGTCGGGTCAAACTTTATGGTAGTTACAACTTTATTTTTTTTCTTGTATTATGAATGCCATGTGTATGCATTGATATATGATTTATTATGGAGTTTATGTATATATTATAACATTATGAGATATAGGGGTGAACATGTTATCAGATATATTAAAGCATGATATATATAAATAAATAAAGATATTTTGTACATAAAAATATAATATACATTATTTTTATATAAATTATAGAGAATAATAAAGAATTTTATTTATTTTTAATTCTTACTATTCTTATGATTATTATACATATATTTACATGTAGGAATAAATTGATTAAAAAAGTACGGTGAATAGAATACGACATACAAAAAGTTATCATTATTGATCCGTCTAAAATAATGAGAGTTTTTATATCGAGATACAAATGTCAATATTGATAATCTCATCCCTCTAAAAATAATTGAATTATTAATAATATTTGTATTCCAATTAGTCCTTGAAAAAAAAAGGTGATGTTTTGAGAGAAAGGATTTTGAAGGTTTGATGTTCCATCTACTTAAGTTGGTATTTTTAATTGTAACATGAAGAGCTCATAATAGATAAGTGAAAATAATTAATATGTAAAATAAAATAATTTCAAAATTATATATAAAATATACTTCCCAACTTCATCATTATATCCCAATTATTTTATATTATGAATATTTGAATTAAATTTGTAGTGACTAGTTAAGATAAATAAACACAATTTTAATAACTCTTTAAGTGATATTTACTAATTTTAATCCTTAAGATTCAACCTTTATCTACAATGTCATTAATTTTTCATAAATAAAATATTTTATTCTTTAAGAAAATTTAAACAACGATATATTAATATAAATTAAAAAACAAGAATCAAAGTGAAACTAGGGATAAATATAAATATAAAAGGAGATTAAAGTGTAATTGGAGGTAATTAAATAAACATAATAGAATTAATGTACAACTGAAGATGAATAAATAAATATAAAAGGAGACCAATATATAACTAGAAATAAACAAAATAGGATCAGTGTATAATTGAAAATAAATAAATAAGATGAATTCATAATTAAAGATAAATATATAAGACCAATGTGTAACTAACTGATAAATAAATATGATCAATGCATAACTGAAAATAAAAATAAAAGAATAAATAAAATGAGGTTAGAGACACCCCACCTAACAACTATAAAAAAAATAAAATAATAATAAATGTTTCATTCACCTACTTTAATAAGTGGAGGAGGTGATCAAAATGCTTATACAAGCCTCTTATTTTATAATTAATTAATGTATTACTTCACTTATTGTTATTTTTAGTGATTGAAGAGGGAATCCAAATTTTGTCAAAGGGAGGTCAAGCTCTTTTGCATAGGTCAACCTCCTTTACAGTGGCCAACACCTTTACAATGACCAAGCTCATTTGTAGTAACTCAACTCTTTTACAGTGATTGAACTCTTTAGAAAGGTTAAGCTCATTTACAGTGGGTGAACTCCTTTACATAGGTCGAGTTCCTTTACAATGGTTGAGCTCCTTTACAGAGGTCAAACTCCTATATAGAGGCTAAGCTCCTTCATAGTGGACGAATTCCTTTGTGCTTCTTTACAGAGATAATTAATTTTTTTTAAAAGGGTCTTTTATTATAAAATATTATAATTTAATATATTGTATTTAAACATTATTAATTTTGAGGTGTTATAGTTGAAAAGTTTTTTTATTATTTTTTTTAAGCAATTTATAAAAGAAATTAAAAAAATGGATAACAAGAGATTGTGTTATTTAAAGTTTCTTAGGAATATGTTTATTATAGCAAAATTACTTATGACTTGTTAACTACAAAAAAATATGTTATTTATAGCGGTTAAAATTGTATGTTATTTATAGCGGTTAAAATTGTAGATTTTAGAAGTTAAAAACCGTTATAAATAAAATTTGTAACAATTAATATAACTGCCATATTTATAGATGTCAAAAACGATTTGTAATAGAATTTTTTTAAATGCTGGTATTTATGTCAAAAAAGAAAAACAAAAATTTCAACAGCTTAAAAACCGCCATAAAATACATTATTATTCTCATTTTAATTTAACATTTTGTTACAATTTGAAATTGTTACAAATGTTATTTTTATAATTAATTTTATATTTCAACAATTAAAAACTGCTACAAAATATATAATATTTTATAATTATTTAAAACTTATTGGAGGTTTAAAAAACCACCAAAAATTATTTAATTACTATTTTTTAATTATTTTATCAATAAATCAAAATTTTAATTATTATTTACAAATTATTTTTTAATAATTTTATAATTAATAATTAAAATACTTTTTTATTTAGAATTACTTTAAAATACCACCATAAGTGTAATAATAATTTAATCATTATAATAAAATCAATAATATAATGAAATGTATAATATATTTTTCATTTGTTTTAATGACATAAAATATTAGTTTGATTCTCACTAAAAAATGGTTAAATTTGTAGTTTTTATATATAATTCACTTTGAGAGAGTACTTAACTAAATATAATTCAATATCAACTAAGATAAAATCAAATTTCATCCTAAAAGTCCAATAAAATTCATCACATTATTCATTAATAAAGGGTATCTAACAAAATACAATGTCAATAGATCCACAAATTTCATAACATATATGTCAAACTTAATGAAAATTATTATCCAATGAGTATCCTCCTATGATATTGACATATTTCATTCACTTGCTTCATCCTGTGAAATAAAAATAATATCATCTTAATATAGTTAAAAATATATATAAAAGATATTAAACTCCATAGAAATAATTAACAACATAATTCTATTAACACAAAATATGAAATACTTACATATAATGTCAAACTTTATGAAAATTACTATCTAAAGAAGATTCTCCATGTGGTGTTGACATATCTTGTCCACTCTCTTCATCCTATAAAATAAAGATCATAAGCATAATTAGAAATTATACATAAGATATTGAACTTTATACAGGTATTGAATAATATAATTTCATTTAAAACAAACTATAAAGTACTTACAACTATATTACTTGTACTACCAAACATGACACCCAACTCAGGAGGAATGTGTCCTTCTTTCATTTGGATGTATGCAAGCATGACACTTTTTAATGTTTTGACATTTTCTTCAGAA